AAAGCCCAGGACCAGATGGCTTCACAGCTGAATTCTACTAAAAATTTAGAGAAGAGTTAACACCTATCCTACTCAAACTCTTCCAGAAAATTGCAGAGGAAGGTAAACTTCCAAACTCATTCTATGAGGCCACCATCACCCTAATTCCAAAACCAAACAAAGATGCCAAAAAAAAGAAAACTACAGGCCAATATCACTGATGAACATAGATGCAAAAATCCTTAACAAAATCTAGGAAATATACTCCAACAACATATTAAAAAGATCATACATCATGACCAAGTGGGCTTTATCCCAGGGATGCAAGGATTCTTCAGTATTCCCAAATCAATCAATGTGATACACCACATTAACAAATTAAAAGACAAAAATCACATGATTATCTCAATAGATGCAGAGAAAGCCTTTGACAAAATTCAACATCCATTTATGATAAAGACCCTCCAGAAAACAGGCATAGAAGGAACAAACCTCAACATAATAAAAGCCATATATGATAAACCCACAACAAATATTATCCTCAATGGTGAAAAATTGAAAGCATTTCCTCTAAAGTCACAAACAAGACAAGGATGCTCACTCTCACCACTACTATTCAACATAGTTTTGGAAGTGTTGGCCATAGCAATCAGAGCAGAAAAAGAAATAAAAGGAATCCAGATTAGAAAAGAAGAAGTAAAACTATTATTGTTTGCAGATGACATGATCCTCTACATACAAAACCCTAAAGACTCCACAAGAAAATTACTAGAGTTAATCAATGAATACAGCAAAGTTGCAGGATATAAAATTAACACACAGAAATCCCTTGCATTCCCATACACTAACAAAGAGAAAACAGAAAGAGAAATTAAGGAAATAATTCCATTCACCATTGCAATGAAAAGAATAAATACTCAGGAATAAATCTACCTAAAGAAACAAAAGACCTATATATACAAAACTATAAAACACTGATGAAAGAAACCAAAGATGACACAAATAGATGGAGAAATATACCGTGTTCATGGATCAGAAGAATCAATATTGTGAAAATGAGTATACTACCCAAAGCAATCTGTTGATTCAATGCAATCCCTATTAAGCTACCAACGATATTTTTCAGAGAATTACAACAAATAATTTAACAATTTTATATGGAATTACAAAAAACTCAAATAGCCAAAGCTATCTTGAGAAAGAAAAATGGAATTGGAGGAATCAACTAGAGGAATTAATCAATCAATATACTACAAAGCAATAGTCATCAAGACAGTATGGTACTGGCACAGAGACAGAAACATAGATCAATGGAACAAAACAGAAAGTCCAGAGATAAAACCACATACCTATGGACACCTTATGTTTGACAAAGGAGGCAAGAATATACAATGGAGAAAAGACAATCTCTTTGACAAGTGGTGCTGGGAAAACTGGTCAACCACTTGTAAAAGAATAAGACTAGAACACTTTCTAACACCATACACAAAAATAAACTCAAAATGGATTAAAGATCTAAATGTAAGACCAGAAACTATAAAACTCCTAGAGGAAAACATAGGCAAAACACTCTCTGACATAAATTATAGCAGGATTCTCTATGACCCACCTCCCAGAGTAATGGAAATATAAGCAAAAATAAACAAATGGGACCTAATTAAACTTAAAAGCATTTGCACAATGAAGAAATCTATAAGCAAGATGAAAAGACAACCTTCAGAATGGGAGAAAATAATATCAAATGAAGCAACTGACAAAGGATTAATCTCAAAAATATACAAGCAACTCCTGCAGCTCAATTCCAGAAAAATAAGTGACCCAGTAAAAAAAAAAAAAAAAATGAGCCAAAGGGCTAAACAGACATTTCTCCAAAGAAGACATACAGATGGCTAATAAATACATGGAAAGATGCTCAACATCACTCATTATTAGAGAAATGCAAATCAAAACCACAATGATGTACCATTTCAAGCTGGTCAGAATGGCTGCTATTAAAAAGTCTACAAACAATAAGTGCTGGAGAGGGTGTGGAGAAAAAGGAACGCTCCTACACTGTTGGTGGGAATGCAAACTAGTACAGCCACTATGGAGAACAGTGTGGAAATTCCTTAAAAAACTGGAAATAGAACTGCCCTTTGACTCAGCAATCCCACTGCTGGGCATACACACTGAGGAAATCAGAATTGAAAGAGACATGTGTACCCCAATGTTCATCACAGCACTGTTTACAATAGCCAGGACAGGAAAGAAACCTAGAAGTCCACTGGCAGATGAACGGATAAGAAAGTGGTGGTACATATACACAATGGAATATTACTCAGCTATTAAAAAGAATGCACTTGAATCAGTTCTAATGAGGTGGGTGAAACTGGAGTCTATTATATAGAGCAAATTAAGTCAGAAAGAAAAACACCAATACAGTATATTAATGCAGACATATGGAATTTAGAAAGATGGTAATGATGACCCTATATGCAAGACTGCAAAAGAGACACAGATATAAAGAACAGACTGTTGGACTCTGTGGGAGAAGCTGAGGGTGGGATGATTTGAGAGAATAGCATTGAATCAGGTATATTATCATAGGTAAAATAGATCACCAGTCCATGTTTGATGCATGAGGCAGGGTGCTCAGGGCTGGTGCACAGGGATGACCCTGAGGGATGGGATAGGGAGGGAGGTGGGAGGGAAGGTCAGGATGGGGAACACATATACACCCATGGCTGATTCATGTGAATGTATGGCAAAAACCACCACAATATTGTAAAGTAATTAGCCTCCAATTAAAATTAAAATAAATAAATAAATAAAAATAAGTAGAAAATTTTGAAATCTGCCTAAGAGGAAAGATATCCTGTTTATGTAAAGTCATTTCATGACTCATAGATGGTTCTAGGGTTTTTCACAATCAAATTCAGTGTAATGGCTTTTATATCATTTAGATCAAGCATTCAGGAATTTAAAGTTAAGAAGTAATATTTAACTCTATATAGTTCACTTGTAAGTGACTACTGATTTTTATGAAGAATGTTGTTGTTGAGTCACTGAGTCGTGTCCAACTCTTTGCAGCCCCATGGACTGTAGCCTGCCAGCTCCTCTGTCCATGGAATTTCCCAGGCATAAATATTGAAATTTCCTCCTCTAGGGGATCTTACCAACCCAGGGACTGAACCTGAGTCGCCTACATTGGCAGGCAGATAGATTGTTTAACACTGAGCCATCTGTGGAGCCCTTTATGAAGAATACAGACTCAAATTCTCTTATTCAGACATGCCCTATTTATGCCTCAATAGATGGCTACTGCTGCTGCTAAGTCACTTCAGTCATGTCTAACTCTGTGTGACCCCATAGCCGGGAGCCCACCAGGCTCCCCCTCTTCTGGGATTCTCCAGGCAAGCACACTGGAGTGGGTTGCCATTTCCTTCTCCAATGCATGAAAGTGAAGTCGCTCAGTCATGTCCAACTCTTGGCGACCCCATGGACCACAGCCTACCAGGCTCCTCTGTCCATCGGATTTTCCAGGCAAGAGTACTGCAGTGGGGTGCCACTGCCTTTTCCACACAATTATCTAATTAATCATTTTTCTTAATTATGGACACTTAAATTTTTAAATGAATTATTTAAATGAGTTACTTCTGCAACATTTACATTATCTAAACTCCTTCTCCTGTTCCACATACATGATTAGGATATTTATTTTGGATGGTTTGAAAGTGGGAATAGTTTGTTCCATGTGAGTTTAACTCATTCCCAAGATGTTGATGTGACCAAATGTCAAGAAAGTCTGGTGAATTTCAGGGAGGATGGAGGCCATCAGAGAGAAACAGACTGTCTTGGGGATTTTTTTTTTTTTCCTTTTTAATAATTGTTTATTTTTGGCCGCTGCAGGGTCTTCGTTGCTGTGGGAGGTTTCTCTCTGGCTGCACAGAGCGGGGCTACTCTCTAACTGTGGTGCACAGGCTTCTCACTGTGGTGGCGTCTCTCGTTGCTCAGCAGGGGCTCTAGAGCGCAGGCTCAGTAGCTGTGGCACAGGGGCCTAGGAGCTCTGAGGCAGGTGGGATCTTCCGCGATCAGGGGTCAAACCCATGCCTCTTTCATTGGCAGGTGGATTCTTTACCACTGAGCCACCGGGGAAGTCTGAACGGAGGTTTTTTTTTTTTTTTAACATTGTAGAGAGATTTCAAAAGAATGAAAGAGGAGAGGTGGTGGGAGGAGAAAGGGGACTTTAAGGGCCATGACCACAGAATGCACGTTCTCAACGTGTTCTTCAGTTAAAGAACGACTTAGTTTTAACTGAAATGTCCTCTTGCTTTATATACTGTACTGTGGTTTTGACACACCCTTTTGACACACGAGGATTTGCTTTCAAAAATTACTTTTAATTGGTTTACTTGTTAATTTAAAATTAGCATCATTTAGGACTATTCTTTTCCCATTAAGAGTGGAATATATTTCTTCAAACATTTTATTTCCCCCGAGACATGTTTTGGCAGATGGAACATTAGCAAATGTGGTGCAAACAGAAGTTTAAAAAGCCTCCATGTCTTGCTTTCAAGACATAGGAAAATTTCATCATCACTAGTTTCCTAAGGGAACAGAACCTGATGCAGAGAGACCCCCACCTTTAATCATCCAGCTGAGGCTCCCACACCTGCATGAGACCTTCCTAGGCCACCCACCCCAAGCAACCAGAACTGCCCAGCAACTCAGAAAGTCATGAGCACATAAGTCGTTGTTTTTAGCAACTAAGTTTTGGGGGCCTGCTTGTTATGCAACCAAAGCTAGCTGATGTACTTAATTTCTTTTTATCTTTACTACAGATGACTTAACACATGTCTTCAAAGGAATACCAAAGTGAGCATGCAAGCCAATGAAAAATTTGGCCATGTGCTTACATTTTGTCCTTTGACTCAGAAACTTAAATCTAATCGTGGATAATAAGAGATGTACTACTATCTTCACTACAAGAATAGGAGACATGCTTCTATTTTCAAATCACTGAAACCCAATAAAATGAGTACCTGATGGTCTTCCCCGGGTCCGCCTCTACCACCCAGGTGCAGTGGAGGTTGTTGTCGTAGGGAGCAGGGTATCCTGGAGACAGGATGCGTCCTGAAGTGGCAGCATGGATCCGCCCGCCACATTCCGCTGCAAGGGATTCAAAAAATGGGCAAGTTTACTCCAGGCCTTACAGGCTTCACTTTAACCACCTTGAAAAGCCCAAAGCATCACACTCATGCTGCATACACAGGAAAACAATCCCAGCATCTGGCTGTCCCTGTCACTGCTTTTCTAAACTTACTTGTTCCCCAGCATTATCTTGATGAAAAACCAGTATCCTCTGCAAAATCAAGAGAGTGAAACAGTGAAATGCCATGTTATAAATCTAGTGATGTTTCTGTGTACAGAAGAAGTATCTAATAAGAATTCAGTATATAGAAGAAGCAATAATACCTCTCTATATAATTCTATATATGCTTCTATATATGCTAATACTACTTCTTCTATATACAGTATCTAATAATACTCCTTCTATACACAGAAGTATTACTTCTTCTACACTTCTCAGTAAAATAGTACTAGGGGATCTGTTTTTCCTGCCTACATACACACATGCACACACACACACACACACTCACAATATTGTTGTTGCTGTTTAGTCACTCAGGCTCAGTTGTGTCCCACTTTTTGTGACCCATGGACTGCAGCCCACCAGGTTCCTCTGTCCATGGGATTCTCCAGGCAAGAATACTGGAGTAGATTGCCATTTCCTTTTCCAGGGGATCTTCCCGAGCCAGGGACTGAACCTGGGTCTCCGACATGGGCAGGGAGATGGATTCTTTGTCACTGAGCCACCAGGAAAGCCTCTCGCAAATGTCAGGATTAAACCCACACTGGAGAAAGAGCAATAGAAGTCTTCCCCCTCTGGGAGAATCAAGTCGGAGCACCCAGGGCTTCCTGCTCCCAGCGCGCATGTGCAGACGACTCACCTACACAGGAAGGCAATGGCCGGTCCCACACTCTCCGGTCCCCGCTCAGGCAGGTCAGAGTACCCCCGCCGTGCATGGCGTAGCCTGGGTTACAGCTATACAGGACGACCGTGTCGGTGAAGTGGCCTTCGTCCCGGATCCTGTAGCCGTAGTGAGGCGTCCCTGGGTCCTCACACTTCACCAGGTCAAAACCTGTGAGTGAGGAGGGGAGGGGTGAGTAGACGGAAGTCACTGTGGCATCCGTACTGGCGTTCACACACTGAGGAAGCAGAATGGGTTGTTAGATGTCCCTCGAAGTGTAGAAAGAAAAAGAAGACTGAATTTAAAAACACATGTGGGTGTTGATTGGGTTTACCCATTAACCACTGGTTTGTTTCTTGGAGTTTGACCATTTTATTTGTTCCTGTCTATTGATATACTTATGACTGAAGCCCAGTAGGACAGTATGGTCCTCCCCCACCTCCCCTTCCCCCCACCCCGGCCCCATCTCCTCCACCTGCCTTTTGTCTGTAGAAAACTTCTAGTCAAATAATAAGCTTAATCAGAGAAGTGAGAAAATACAGATCCAAAGAAAGCACTCAAACAGAACAAAATAATAATAGTTTAGTCACGAAACAAGGTCAAGGGCTTGTTTCAGTTTCTCCTCAAGGGCTGCAGACAATTTTCTGAGCTATATCCTGAGAGTTGTCTTGTAGATACTGAAACCCCCACCAGCTGGAAGAAGTTAACTACACGATGCCCAGACTGTCACCATGTTATATGTGCCACAATTCCTAGAACTGGTCTCAAAGAAATGTTAACAAATCGACCCTGGAACTGAAGAGTAACTGTACTTAAAGCAGTCAGGAAGACAATGATCAGACCACTGATGACCAGTTTCAAGATGACCATCAGAGCTGACTGTGCTGTTTGTGCAGGTAGCCCCCTCCCTCCATCTACAAAAGCTCTTGCCTGCTGAGTATCAGTGTGTGTGTGTGTGTGTGGTCGGCGGCATGGAATCAGTCTTTGGACAGAAGCCCACCTTCTATCCTGGTTGCCACTCTCTGAAATGACTTTCCTTTTCACCAGTCTTGCCTCTTGAGTATCAGCTTTCAAGCAGCAAGCAGCTAGACCACACTTTCAGTAACACAAGGAGAATCTTTATTTCAAAGAGCTCCAGGCTGTCATCATCTGACTCACACATCCAGTCAGCTTCTAGATTCTCCAGTGACGTCTTGTAAGCTTTTCCTGTCTCCATACCTCCTCTTTGTCACACCTGGGGCCTTCCAAGAGGCCTGTGCTCACTCCAGCCTCTGCCTCCAGGCCCACTTCCTCTAAAACACCCAGATCTCAAGCTTCTTGGAAATTCCCATGCTCACATTCCCAGCTCACAGAGCTGGGTTCTGTGTCCCACCTGGGGCCAGGGTGAGGTTCCTGAGCTGCTCCGCGTGTGTAGCACAAACTCCAGGATGAATCATCATAATGATTTCATCAAACTAACCTCTGAGACTTGAAGAAAGAGATGACAGAAATGAAGATTTAGCCTCTGTGGTACCAAGAGCTGTATATTGCTTTCATGTGAGGCAATAATTTAAGGCCATCTCTGAAGAGAGCTCTACACTAACAAATCGCTTTTCCCATATCACAATGCAGATTTTGACCATTTAAAAAAGGAGAGCTGGAAACCCGAAGGAATACATGGGTTGTTTTCATCTATTTCCACCTAAATTTTGCTTCTTCCTTTTCATGAAAATAAATAAAATAAAAAAATGAATGTGTGAGTTTTGCTAAGTCTTTCTGTCAAATTTGCATTCTGAATGCTTTCCATGGAGGAATATACATCTTTAAATTCACATGATCATTTACCCTTAGAATCTCTACATAATCCAGATGGAGTTCTGCAGGTGTATACATGGGAGGGAAACCAGTACACATTTGATAATTTACATGCAGTGGCCAAAAAAGTTTCCTGAAATACTTTTTTTTTCTATAAAATGTCAGTCTTTAATTATCGTGCCTTTATGAAAACTGTTTATCTATTTAAGAAATGCAAATAGCTATAATTCAAGATGCCCAGAAAGACAGTGCATAACAGTGTATCTATTTCAGCACAAAGCAAAAGGATGTTTTAAGTTGCCACAAAGGGGATCAGAATTAGGAAGAAGGGTCCCAGGCACATAGGGTTTCAGGGCTCATGCAGACACCTGACAACTCCAGTCTGATGCACAGTCCCAAAGCCACCAGGAAAAGAAGATGCTAAGCTGCTGAACTCACTTAGATCAAACCGCCATCCTTACTCCTGCCGTGCAAAAGGCCCTGCAGATTATTTAGCCATAATGTCTCTTGTGCAGAAGGGCAAAAGAAGCAACGTCTCTATTGTTACTGTTTCACTTGGTCTGGGGCTTGGATGAGACAATGCCAGGGTGGTGCTTTCACCACTGCCCGGGTGACCGGAACAAGAAACTACCACTGGCTGGGGCACGGTGGCCAGCTGAGAGTGACAGCTGGAGTAGGGCTCAACAGGTAATGGTAATCACCGATGCTTCAAACTGTCTCAGCGCTTGGAAGTCAAATTAGGTATCTGAGTATCAATGACAGTGGAACATAAAACTCGAAACAAGCAGCAGACAAAATCTAGGTCTCAAGATGAGAAACAGAAAGAGTCAAACACATGTCCCTTTTGTTTGTACCCCTGTGACAGGAACCTGGAGAAGTAAATCTGACATGAGAGGAGTCAGTCTCAAGTGCCAATAGACCCGAAGTTCTCTCCAAAGCAGAGTGAGATCCATGCAGGACAGTGGCCCCAGGGGACAGTAACCACCTGCTGTCCTGCTGAAATCCACACCCCCTATAACCCAAGCTTCTGATTCTTCCAGGAACACCAGAAAGCTGGAGTTTTTAGCTTCATAAAATGCTTGTTGAATAAATACATATTTCAAAAATGGAGATACTTAAATTCTAAGATTAGATTATGAAAACTAGATGTAAACAGTTTTAAGAGAAACCAATAATTTCTCAGTTTCTGGAGAAGGCTGAGACTCAATTCTGAAAAGTTGTCAATATCCCATCTAATTTTTTAAGACTAAACTTTGTGACGCAAAGACCTTCTCAGGATGATTAAGGGCTGGATAGAGAAATGGCCCAGCTTGTCCGAGACCTTTTATTCTGACAGTGAGTTATTTCCTGGTTATACAGAAGACTTTTGTTATGAAAGATTGTCCTCACTGGAGATTAATGCCTATAAAAGATAAAGTAATGACATTGATTTTCCTGGTGACTTATGTGCTGTCTCATTAGCTTATAGCTATCAACTCTACAGACAAGAGACTCATGCTTAAAGGTTATCCAGACTTTCCCTCTAAGTTCAGAGAGCATGGCTTTTAAAATCTTCCATCAAATGCGCTATCAAAGTCCTAAAATCACAGAACTTGTTTATATTAAAATTAGCTTGAAGAAACATTTCCTCTGCTCCAAAAACTTGCATTATGAAACTTTTTAAAGGAAGGAAGTAAGAATCATTGAAAAATAATAAACAACGATGCACCAATACAAATGTCTACTAAAGTTTATCTGTGTTGAATTATTAGAAAAAAAAATGACTGTTTTATTGTTTTTTTCTATCACTCAGTCTAGAAAGATTTTGTCTTTTTCTAAACCACATGTTGTCACACAGATGAGTTAAGTCATGCTTAACTCATGCTTATTCTTAACATGCTTATTCTTTCCATTGCCAGATATCTTGTTTTACTTATGCTCCTTCTGTTATTATTATTTTTTAAAAGATCAGTTAAATCATTGATGGCATCATGAAATACATTATTTAGCTGAAAGTCCTACATTTGATACTTAAATGTCTAAAACTTCTAGACCTACCTAAGGTCATTATATTAAATATATTCTTCTTGTCAGAAACTTGAAAAGTATTTGTTTTTTATTTTTATTATGTTGATATTCTCAAATTCAGTTTTTAAAGTCAGTGAAAAGAGCTTTGTTTGTGCAAAACTTCTTACAGGATTTAATAATTCATGCACAGTTACAGGCAGAATCATAGACATTTATCCCCAGAGGAATCGACATCTCGAAAGGACTAGAGAAAGATCTCCAGAAACCCCAGATTTTTATTTCTTGTTGCTTGTGCCATGAACCAGCTTGGCCCTTGGACTCTGAGTCCATCCATATGCAATAGATACTCTGCCTCTCTCCAAAAGCAGAATGAGAGTCATTTCAGTTGAGCCCTGCTTGCTGTTTGATTAGGGCATAATATTAGCATTGTCTCTTAAAAATTTCAGTACTGCTTGTAGATACTGGTGAACTAAATTGAAGTGATATATAGTAACAGAGTTCTTGAATGACAATATGAAATTCTGGGATGTTCATACTGTGTTCATTTCAGGAAAAATATTTTTTCTGTGATTCATTAAAATATCTCAAAAATATTCTCTTACATTTAATTTAGATCTACAGAGGTAGTCCTCCAAATAAGAGGTTTTTCCATTTAAATTAGAATCTAAAAGACTTTAGAATGACTACTCTTAAGGCTACTATAGACTAACAACTTAAAAAATATAGAGAATATATCCTTTTCTATCTTGAAGCCACTAGCTTGACATAAATCAGTGTGCAAATACTGATTTTCTGTATTTTCTTTGTGCCACAGAACCTTCAAAAAGATTAAAGTTATCTGTCAAAACATTACCTATTAAGAGTTGCAGTTGCTGCTTGGATCTATTTAGCAATTCCATATCTTTTTGTTTTCCAGTGATTTCTTCTTAGTCACATAAATAGTACAGATGCTTTGAACAAAATGTTTTAGTTAAAACAAGCTCCAAACATCAGGCTAATGAAAATTATTACTTCGTCTTTTGTAGCTATTACCCAATTTTAATGTTTTTAAGGATTAAATCCTATATCTCTTCAAATTCTAACAAAATATTACTGTTACAAAAGACTTCCACTTAACTCTCAAGTATTACTGTAAGCTGTGTTCACTCTTTTATACAAATGAAGAAGTTGCAAAGAATACTCATTGCAGCAGCCTTCCTCATTATCAGAAATTAAAGAAATTTCTGAATAAATTGGCAGAGGAACGCAGGCAGAAGAAGGAAGTTTGAGATGTGCAAGAAGCTTAATTATTTCAAAGAAAATAATGGTTCTTTGTTTTTAAATGTTAACCTTTTTTAAATACAATACTGATAGTTAGAAGAAAAAAAAAA